AGGACTATCACAAGGAGCCATAATTCGTATTTTTTCGTGCATATATAAGGTTTTTATGGCCGTTTGCAACTTTACGACGTCAACTAAACGTCTACAATTTAGACAGCACAGAATCATTAACCTACTTTAACGCATTTATTTATACAACCAGATATTTCCCACATTTTGACATCAGTGATGCAGTGAAGATACAGTCTCTTTATTTCTTGACGCCAACTCTCCCCATTAATCCGGGTTTAGGACCAGTGTTCTGACGAGTTGAGCTGGTTTGCTCCCTTAAGTGGCTGGGTTAGGCTAAACTATATACATATTTACAAAGACATATGTATATATATGTATAAGAAATATGTAGTCTAAAAAAACGCAATTTAAAGAAGGTAGCCTACCTGGCGAAATTGCAAACAAACAAAAGGCCCACAGCATATAATCGGGCTATATACAGTAGTCAGACGGACGAGGACGTTAGACAGCCTTTAGATCCTACCCATCATGCACTGCAGTTTTTTGCGAATTCCTCAAACGGAAAACCATTAAATATAAAAGGAACAGCTTAGTTTGACTTCAAAACATTACTATGTATTATATTTTAAGTTTGCTGTAGGGATTTTACAGGGTTTTTTTCTAAAAATTAAAACTTACACCATATACCCACCATAATAAGAATGTATACCAAAAATGACAGATATATAAAATCGCAAGTCACTGTTCCAATGTAATTAATACGTTCTAGCTCTTTAGAATTTCGGAGAAATTATCACTGATTTCACGTGTGTTCGCTATATGAAAGGGTCCTTTGTTTGCGGGGGGGAAGTCCCTTTACGATCCTGGGGAAGCCCCGGACCCAGGGTTGGTGGTCCCGCCCGCTTCCGCCCCTGCTTCACCTCAAGAAAGCCTTTCCTTGTTAAATGCCCTTGGGCACAAATAAATTTTTACCTCTAGAGAGCAAAGTATCTCTCTATTGGATCTATATGTAAAATTGTAGTCAAACGTTTTATAAATGGACTCATTAAACTGAAATCTGCTTGAAAGTCATAAATAACACCTGCTTTTATTTAAATATCACTGGACCATAGACCTGGGCAATTTTATGTAATAAATATGTATTTGCTTATGTAGGACACATAGATTAAGTGGCATATAGCACCTTATACTTGGCTAACAGTGCTCCAAATCATCACAAATAGTCTGGCTCTGGGTAGTCAAGCTGAAAAATAAGTTATTTATAAATTGCTGCTAGGTATCCAGGGAAACAAAATAAACCTACAGTCAGCAAAATCTGCCAGAGACTGCTCTGAAATGCCAGTGATTATACCGTCAAAACTGAATTCCTGAGCTAAATATGTGATATTAATTCAGTCAGTATGATTTTGTGAAATCCGGCCACCTCTGCAAGTCTGTTTTCCACATTGGGCACCGACAGCAGATTCCAGGTTCCTTTGGAAAAGCCTCTGCCATTATGGTGATACCTCGCCCATGCAAACACCAGGAAACAGCACACATCAGCGGCTATCTACCAAAGTACACAGCCGTCCGCAGCTAAGCTTCAGCTTGCATGATCCACAGCAGCCAACATGCTGTGCTGAAAAACAACCTCAAAATACATATGGATCTGTGATCAGGAACAGGCAGGCCAAAAGGAATACCTTTAGGTGTAATATGGTGAGAAACTGTACCGGAAATATTTTTCTTGATCATGACTTGGGAGATAATTGCACAACAAAATTACATTTTATACAAAACAAATTATTATAAATTACTGAAATTATTATTATTTGATTGCAATTAAATGACAAGTTATATACCAAATACAGCGGTACCTCGGTTCTCGAACTCATTAGAACTTGAATTTCTTAAAAGTCGAACCAACCAATAAAAAAAAAATTACCTAGAACTCGATCTGAATCTCAGAAGTCGAATCATGAACACCGACCTAAGATAACTTGTACGCACGGGGAAGTGAGTCACACGGCATGTCTCAGAGCGGAAACAAAAGGTAACGCTTCAGTGTCAGCCTCGCATTCACTGTGATAGCATCGTGCATGTTTACACTAGCTGAATACATATAGACAGTAAAAATACATTTAGACAATGATA